GTCTAGCTGGTCAAGTCAAATGCTGATAATATGTTAATGGAGTATGCAAGCGGGAACGTAGGTTGCTGTCAGAAGCAGAGGCTGTCATTGGTTAATGCAGATATCTGCTTTTCCTTACTTTTATAACTTACAAAAGAGATCTACCATTCATCGGTTGATCTTTAGCTGGAACTCAAACTTTTTGGGTCGTCGATATTTTATGTTATCATCGTCCTCAATTTCAGAAGGCTTTTCCCATCTAAATGAGGTTGCTTGGATATAAGATTGAACAAATTTTTCGAAGGCTAATTAGCACTATCTAAGTAGTCATTTCATTCGTGGTCAAGAGATTAGTTGGAGTCAAAAGAAGAGGAGAACCGGATGAAGTGTAGGGATCCTAGCTTGTTGTTTTTGCAGTTTTTGTCAGTTGCAACGAAGGAGCAGTCACGCCTTCCTTTCATGCCGAATATGCCTATGAAGATCTTGGCCTTCCTAGCTTACTTTTTCCGCAGTCTCCTCTTCTTTTGAATTTTCTACACTTTCTCATGCTAAAACTATATAAAAGCTTACAATTTTTCGAAGGCTAATTAGCACTTAAAAACCTTATGAGTTTCCCTTACTTGCACGCTTACATATCCTCAGCTGTTTGTAGCACTTATATAACCTGAAGTTTCCAAAATTTGCACTTTAATACCTTCTGCTATGTAAACGTGAGAATTTTCCACCAAATATTCCTGTGACACTCACAAGCTATATTTAGAACTTTTTAACCCTTAGAGCGTCAAACAGGAAACTTCGGGAGGAAATTTTCACGATTGCATAACAGAAAGTTTTGAAGTACAAATTTAGAAACTTGAGGGTGTGTATTACTGAAAACAAGGGTGCAAAGTAGGGGAAACTGTTAAGGTATTTAAGTGCTAATTAGCCTTTTCTAACTTTAATCCTTCACTTATAATTCCATAGACGGGTAAGCACCAGTTATTTTATATCCATAAAACCCGTCTTCTAACTAATAGTTACAATTTAATCAAATCAACTTAATAGTTTGATAAACAGCAAAATAATTTTTTCATTATTAAGTGAAAATTAGGATTATTTCAATTCTTTTAGTGCACAAACTATTCACGTTTCATATGCGACCCTTGCATTCTTGTTGGCTGAGAGAAATCAGACAGTTCTATTGGTTTGTATCCTATACTTATCATAATTTTTCAGAGTTACAAGATTGCTGTTAGGTAACTGTTTCATGTGGGTTTCATTTATTTCAAGGTAGTGGCAAAACATATACAATGCAGCCTTTACCTCTCAGAGGTGTAGAAGACATTGTTCGATTGTTGCATAAGCCAGTCTATCGCAATCAGAACTTTAAATTGTGGCTTAGCTGTTTTGAGATTTATGGCGGGAAACCTTTTGACCTTCTTAGCGGTAGGAGGTGAAATTTTTTTTCTCACATTTAAACTTATTAAATTTGTAGACATTAGTATATTCATTTGAACGTGACTTCTAAGCACCCCTTCCTCATGCAGTTGCTTTTTTAGTTTACTAAATCTGTTTATTTCCGGATTTGAGGTGTTAAAGGATTTGTCTATATGTGTGACACATATTTCTGAATAGCTATGGATTTTTCCCATTTTCTTGTAATTTATGATAAGCATAGAACCTTCCTTTGTTTTCTGTTAGCTGGAATAGGAGCGGCATGAAATAAATTGTTCAAACATTACGTTGTTAATCCCTCCTCACCGTTTTTTCTCAAATATAAAACTGCTGGAAACACTGTGCCTTTCTTCTTTTGCTAGTTTCTTATCCATCTCATCACCTTGGGTTGTGGTTTGGTTTGTAAACACTTCCTACTCGGGTAGAAGAAGAAGAAAAAACAGTCCCTGCTGTTAAGTTTATGTTTCCAAAATTTTATGTTTTCGTTATCTTCTGTCCTTCGTTTGATTTCTTTGAGCCAATTAGAGTTCCCTGGAGCAAATTATCATTCTAGCTCTCTTTTAGACTGCACTTGAAGGACAACTGCGCTTTTTTCACGAGTGTAACGTGTCTTATAATTTTTTGTGATCAAGAAGCAAAAAGAGGTGAAAGACACTAGAAGGAAAAATGACAGTAACGAGTCAAAAGATGGAAAGGTTACTGGAAAGATATCTTTCATCGACCTCGCTGGAAGTGAGCGTGGTGCTGATACCAATGACAATGATCGTCAAACAAGGTTGTTAACTCTTTCAAAGGTCCTTCTTTGTAACATATTCCTAATACCCTATTAGTAATTTTTCACTGCTGAGCATCTCGATGATAGCTCTGAGGAACATTCATATACAAAACCCTGGCCAGTTTTGTTATTTAATGGTTTCCGATGATATGTGTTCTGTTTTCTCGTTTCAGGATTGAAGGAGCTGAGATAAACAAGAGCCTGTTGGCCCTGAAAGAATGTATTCGTGCGTTAGACAATGATCAGATACGCATTCCATTTCGGGGTAGCAAACTTACAGAGGTGCTTCGTGACTATTTTGTCGGCAATACACGGACTGTCATGATTTCTTGCATTTCTCCTAGTGCTTGCTGGTTCTTGTGAATACACTTAATACCTCGAGATATGCTGATAGGTGAGATCAAGATTACTCTAAATTATATATGCTGTTGAAAAGCTCATACTTGGGTAATTACAATTACAAATATATATTTATATATTTTGTAAAATACATGCACAGGGTTAAGAGTCTTTTGAAGAGTGGCAACTCGAAGAAACATCAAGCTACTGGCTCAATGCTTGCGTCTTCAAAGTCATCCGAGGATCTTAATGAGCAAAACTATGTGGGTGAGAAACCAGCGGATCTTTCCGGAAGAAATGTCGAGAACCGTTCTTCATCAGCGCCTGCGAGAAATTTGTCCGGTGCGATGTCAAATAATGCCCCTATCACGGAAGGGGAGAAGCTATGCCAACATTTAACACGGCCGGAAGGGTTGACGTGAAGAACAGTTATACTATTTCATCCAGTCATAAAGTCTGTTCCTCTGCTCAGAATACACCCCACGCCGAAGACGAGGAAAAAAGTACCCAAGGTATCCCCACCTCGGAGAAGAACTCTTAGGGAAGGAAAGCTTGGAAAACTGATTTGGGCGAGCAAAGAGAGCGGATCCGAATTGCCGACCACGAGTCATGGTTGATAAACCTACTTTGGACATCCCATCAGGGCAACATGAACAGGAAGCTCCATCCTATGATAGGGAAATTAACGCCATACCAGAGGTCAGAAACTTTTACTACTATCTTCTCAATCATTTTAGTTGGGAGTTTCCATTGTGTTTTCTACTTGAACTAGCGCAGGATGAGGAAGCATTGATGGCAGCTCATAGAAAAGAAATTGAGAAACACAATGGAGATAGCGCGAGAGGTCAGTTCCCATTTGCTTGGTGCTACTGCTATATGATACCTTCCATTTGTTATTTTGGTAATTAGTGAATTAAATGCGGTGCTTGGCGTTCATTACCAGACGTATTAGGGTATAAAATTATAGTCCTCAACTCCCTCCACAGCTTAAGGACCTTTGGTAATTTCCATTTTTTTTATTTAATGTCACATGGAATGCTTCTGATCCTGACATTCCAGTATATCGTATGATCCCCGTTCAAATTTTCAAAACCAACCTATTTCAGCATTTAATAGGAAAAAAAGACCCGTTTCAGTTTTATTTAGAGAAACCGACCTGGTTTCAGCACTGTCGCTGAAACCAGGTCGGTTTTTCTAAAAAACTTTCCGAAACTACACGGGAGTTCAACTCCCGTGAAGTTTAGTACGTTTTTAAACTTCACGGGAGTTCAACTCCCGTGAAATTTAAAACCCTCATTAACCTCCACGGGAGTTCAACTCCCGTGGAGTTTGTTCTATTGTTAAAACTCCACGGGAGTTCAACTCCCGTGGAGTTTGTTCTATTGTTAAAACTCCACGGGAGTTGAACTCCCGTGGAGTTACAGGCCAAATTTCCCAGAGAATCGCTCTCTGGGAAATTTGCACTGCAACTTCACGGGAGTTCAACTCCCGTGAAGTTGCAGGTTTTACATAAAACATGCACAACATGCATACATCTACCTATTTAACTCATATATACAACTATTTACCTGTTGACAATAATTACTGCAATATATATATTATTTAAACACGCACGAATCAAACAATACGCAAAAAGATCACATATCGAGCTATAATTGATCCATAAAAGTATAGTATTTGAAAATTCATACAATTTACAAATTTTAACATAATAAGTTCAAGTTCAAATACAACCCAATATAGCTCCTCTCCTTCCTCTCCCTCTCTTCCCCCTCCCCCTCGCTCTTCCCCGCCCCCCGCGCTGATGAGCCTCGACTATCTGAGTATCCGGCTGTGTGTGAGGCTGCGAAGTGCCGGCTCCATCAGCATGTGAAGTGCCGGCTTCATCAGCATGTGAAGTTCCGGCTCCATCAGCATGCGAAGTGCCGGCTCCATCAGCATGCGAAGTGCCGCCGTCATCGTCACGTGGCCGTCGGCGCCGAGTGTACGCTTGCCCAAATGATCGAGACCTGTCCTCACGGCCTGCGAACTCGTCGACGTGAGTCTTATGAAACACCTGTGCTATGGTCTTCTTGATCCTGCCGAGGAGCCCTAACGCCACCTGATCCTGAATCTCAGGCACGGTCGCATCAATATCCGCCTGAATGCTATCCAAAGCACGGACCTGTGAGGTAAATAATTTAATAAGTACCAACTCAAGAAAAAAATATTATAATTTAGCTTAGAAACTTACGTAATCTCTCTCGTTCATCCCACTAGGGATGTAACTGTCTGTCGGTGGCCGTGGCATGTGTCCAGCTAAGGGCTGTGGGTCACGTGTGATCCATCTACGTGTGATACCCCAATACCAACGCATATACGTGGTATAGTCAACAGCTGTGGGCCTCGTATCCTGGATGAAATCCCACCTGTGAGCCCACCTATCTATGTAGGCCGCACGGACTACGGCCCAGTCGGTATGGTGCGAAGTAGGTCGCCGCCGACGAGAGATCTGCTCAACAGGATCTGGTACATGCTGAGAGAGCGTAAACTGTCGTAGCACACGGTCAGGGACATGCATCTCCACGATCTCCCAACAAATCAATGGAACTCTCGCTCTCCACAAGTCGGGACTATCTCGGCAGATGGGTGCAAGAGAATGCATATCCAGCTCCGGCGGTGTATAGGGTCTCCACTTGAACTGAAATAAAATAAAAAATTTATCAGTATCAACAACAAAACTATAATATTCATAACGACTTGAGATTTATATTTACCTGTTCGTGTTGGAGACCATCAAGCTCATTTCGGTAAAACTCACGATGGCGCGTCGCTGATCGGTACTTAGCGTACCGCACGTTATACCTATATGCAGAATAGAGAATATATAAGTACAAATTCAGTGCGAATAAAATTTGTGTGTACAATTATACCTGTACGCCAAAGGAAACCGCCCTTGTAGGTCACGGTGCACGAGTAAAGTAGGGCGTCCAATATGAATGCGCTCCCATGACCAAATCTGTATCAATGTGCAGCATCCCTTGAATTCTTTATTCTGCATCAGGGATACTCTACTCAACTCTCGATACAAATATGCCAACACCGCACTGCCCCACGATAGTGCGCCGCATACACCAAAATCCTCCAGCAGTGGCAGCCATCGTGCATGTACGAGAGTCTTGCTCGCATCCGGAAAAAGCACGCACCCTATCATGTGCAATATGTAAGCCCGAGCATGGAACTGAAGCGTCTCATTAATCCTGTGGTATATCGCCCTGAAATGTCTGACGAAGCCACGATAGTTTCATCGCACCACTCCTCAAGTCGGGAACCTGTCCAAGAAGCCGGGCACATACCTCGGGCCAACTATGATCATCGGTGCCCGTAACTGGCAGCCCATCGATCCGGAGCCCAAGAATGACGGCCACATCCTGTAAAGTGATAGTGCACTCCCCTATATGCATGTGAAAGGTGTTGGTCTCTGGCCTCCACCTCTCAATCAAAGCAGTGATAAGCGGCCAATCAAGCCTGATATATCGAACCGTCGAGCACTCCCGAAAACCATCCTGAGAGATCAGCGCTAGAACTCTCTCATCCTCAATGACCCAAGATGAATGGCTCTGTGAATGCTCGATCATGGTAATATCAGGTACGGGCTGCACGTCAAAAAAGAATTGATTAAGTATAAAGCAAAAAATTAAAATTAGTGCCAATGCTAACTAGCATATACAAAAGATGTTTTACCTGTCCTGAGCCAATATAATCTGAAACGTGGCTCATCTGGAAGGTCAAAACGTCTAGGCGTCTCGGTCCCGGATCCATAATGAATATAACTGAGAATTATATTAGAAGACAATGCTCAATGTGTTAGATCTTTTTTGTTAAAATACTCATCTAGTTATATATAAACAACAAATGAATGCGCAACGTGAAGAAAGCAATAACTTGAAACCAAACTTTAAATTTTCGGTCCCGGATCCATAATGAATATAACTGAGAATTATATTAGAAGACAATGCTCAATGTGTTAGATCTTTTTGTTAAAATACTCATCTAGTTATATATAAACAACAAACGAATGCGCAACGTGAAGAAAGCAATAACTTGAAACCAAACATTAAATTTATATAACATAGTACGAAACGATACAAATTCCAATCACAAATGAGATACAGAAACAAACACAGAATGAAACCCCTAGCATTTAACAATCACAAATGACATACGAAAGAAAACACAGTTCGAAACCGCTACAAATTACAACATCAACGCCTAATCCTAACTGGACAATTATTTTTCTTATGGCCCGGTTGATCGCATCTACTACACTTATTTCTCCTCCTAACTCCTTCACGACCGTCATCCATACAATTTCTAATTCGTACGGAACGAGGGCGCCCCGCCGACCTTTTATACAAAGGAGGCAATATCTTTGGCCCGCCTTGTGTCCAATATCGACTATCATATGGTGGACGAAAACACTCTTTGTATGTTTGTCGATAGTTGTAAGTAGAATACCAAGCCTCGACGAACTCATAGTGTGAAATCCTCGCACCACCTTGTAGATCAGAACAAGCCGCGACAACATGTGAACAAGGAATCCATTGTAATTGCGGTACGTTGCAAGTGCACGTACACGAGTGATCCACTAACATGTTAACTTTATAAGAACGATTTTCTCTATGTGATATTCTCTCAATGACTTCCCATTCATTAAAACTGTATCTTACGACATGAAAGGATCGAGCTTGTACAATCCGAGCCGCTAACATTTCATCATTTTTCGGTGTGAGCTCCGAGCGGATATTTTCACCAAGTTCGCGATGTCGTAGAAAGAAGTTATTAAGTCTGTAGAATGTTTTAGCAACTAGTGATTGTATTGGCATACCGCGTGCTCCCTTGAGCACGCCATTGAAACTCTCTGAAGCGTTCGTAGTCATCATACAGAACCGTCTCCCGCCATCTTCACATAAAGCCCACTTATCAACATTGTGTGGTCCCAAACTAGTTTCGATCTAATCATGTGCAGCTCGGGAGGTAAACTTAATCCTCTCTCGTATTTGATCATAAACTAATTTTTCTGTTGCACAGCCGGCTTGCCAAAGAAGATCTTGAACCTGACCGTTTCCAAATTTCTTCTTGAAGTTGTCCCTAATATGTCGCAAGCAATAACGATGTGCATGTGGCTCTGGGAAATGACGTTGGAGTGCTCTTGGAATTCCTTTCATCCTATCAGATATGAATGTAATCGACCGCGCACCCACACTAGGGATATGATATCTAATGCATGCAAAAAACCACGCCCAATTCTCGGTGTTTTTAATATCAACCACTGCAAACGCCAAAGGAAACAAACCGCCATCCGCATCAACTCCGGTGGTAACAAGCAAAACTCCTTTGTACTTGCCGTATAAGTGGGTGCCATCAATGCTAAGAAGAGGACGACAATATCGAAACCCCTCAATACATGGCCCAAATGCCCAAAATACACCGGTGAACCGCCGATCTCCGCCATCAACGGGGTCCGAAGATACTTCGTAGACAGTTCCTGGATTTTCTCTTTTGAGTGCTTCAAGATAATGAGGTAAGATCTCATACGATTTATCCCAATCACCGAATATTTTTATCATCGCCTTCCTCCTAGCATTCCAACACTTGTGATATGATACATCCAAGTTGGTGGCTTTTTGCACTAGAAGACGAATATCTTTCGGCCTTAGATCAAAATCCTCCCTCAGATGCGGTAAAATCAATCGATATATGAAGGAAGAGGATGCATTCTTGTTATTCATCTCTAATCGAGGATTGCTACAAGTGTGGAGTCCGTTGTATGCCGTGATTTTGAATTGCCCGCCTACTCTTACACCGGAGCGTGAATTAAGCTTCCACGGACATTTCGCATTGCCGTCGTGGTGTCCACCAATATCTTCATCATCGCCATCTTTGCGATAGAAACAAACCGCATTATAGCTTGTAGTATTATTTTTTGTTGGCCTAAACTTGACATTTTTTGCAATGGCGTACGAGCGAAGCGCATGGATCAATTTCTCCTTGCTCTCATATAGATCTCCCTTCACGAATGAGAAGTCCTCGCCCTGTGTATCATGACCGCTATTAGTGCCAATAGGAACACTTTCCATCACGGAGTTATCGATCCATTCTTCTCCTTGAAGTTCATCGGGCGGCGGATCCTCTAAGACAACATACTCATTATTAGCATAACACCCGTCAATGTGGTGGTTGTCCCCTTCATCACGATCTATCAAGGTCATGCTATCAATTTGTAAGCCCTCCTCTTCATCATCATTCTCAGATTCAACACTTGCATTATCTTCTTGAACTCCCGTGTTAGTATCGACCGCATTCGAAGTGCCCACAAGCGAAGGACCGCTCATATATTGTGATTGTGTCCAACCGCTCATATGTTGTGATTGTGTCCAACCTTCATCTTGTTGAGGAGATAAAAAACCAACGGAATCAACATCAGGGTCTTCCAACATGCGGGAATACATTCCATCATAATTCAACGATTTGCCCAAATTCCTTTGATGTTTTTCAATGAACAATTCAATCGAACGCTTCTCGTCATGTAAGACTCCAATTAGACTCATATCGTAGTCACTTGATATTTGAATGCCGCTTGTCCTGTTCTCCACGACAGGATAATTGCAAATAACATTAAGGTGATACTCACGTGAGTTGGTTAATGTAAGTTTGTGCAATTCATTAACCAACTCATCGAAAGTACACGATTTTGTTATAAACAATGGTCTCGTCGTACCTCCTTCATAAACATGCATATTATTTTCGACGTATTTAATCTTCCCAATCATACGAACACAAAATTACGATTCGATCGTTCATCATTACCTCTGAAGAGTAAAACAATCAAGATCAATATTACACGAAAAGACTCTAAAAATTTATTGTTACTTAAAATTAAATCCTATGTACCAAAACTATTTTTTACATTATTGATAATTTACCCTCTAACTCGACAAAATAATTTAAGTTTTCTTCACATAATTCATAAAATTCACAATTAAATTCTCAAATCTAATTGATGTCATATAACACTAATTTTTAGATTTTTTATAATTTCACATATAGCACTAATTTCATAACTTATTCATAATGAAATTCTAAAATCGACAAAATTATTAATAACACAATTTTTTTAAAATAAATTAGATGTCATACATATGTAGTAACACTATTTTTTACATTATTGAAAATTTACCCTCTAAATCGACAAAATTATTTAAGTTTTCTTCACATAAATCATAAAAATTTCACAATTAAATTCTAAAATATAATTTTTTACATATAATCACCATTAAATAGCGAGAAATTACAAGAAATTAAGAGAAAATCAAATTTTGGGAGGAATTTACCCTCAAATTGTCGAAATCCGGCGAAGTTGACTGTTCCGGCGGTCGGAATCAAGGGCAAACAGTCGGAAAGGAGTGCTGGCGGTCGGAAACAGTGGCCGGCGGTCAAATTTGGGGGGCTGGGGTCGGAATCGCCGTGGACGGCGGCGGAGATAGGTTAGGGTTTGGGGGCGGTTGTGGGGAGAGAGAACTGAAGGAGGGGGCTGTCTGTCGCTGCGTATATATAGCCCGCAGTTTCACGGGAGTTCAACTCCCGTGAAGCTGCAGGGTAAAATCCGCAGCGAGTAGCTCGCTGGAAAATCTGGCCTGCAGCTTCACGGGATTTCAACTCCCGTGAAGCTGCAGGCCAGATTTCCCAGCGAGTTACTCGCTGGAGTTTACCCTGCAACTCCACGGGAGTTGAACTCCCGTGGAGTTTAATGAGGGTTTTAAATTTCACGGGAGTTGAACTCCCGTGAAGTTTAAAAACGTACTAAACTTCACGGGAGTTGAACTCCCGTGTAGTTTCGGAAAGTTTTTTAGAAAAACCGACCTGGTTTCAGCGACAGTGCTGAAACCAGGTCGGTTTCTCTAAATAAAACTGAAACGGGTCTTTTTTTCCTATTAAATGCTGAAATAGGTTGGTTTTGAAAATTTGTCCTATGATCCCCGTTCAAGCAACGTGATGAGTGTTTTTCCTTTGCTAGACTCTGATTTTAGCTAAAAAACATAGTTATTCTTAATTTTGCCACCGAGGCTACTCAGGATAAACCAGACTCTAGGGATGGATAAAACTTCCCAGCAGTTAAAATGGGAATTACTGTTAACTTAAGATCTTAATTTATCATTGCTCCGGTAAGAGTGCGATTTTTTTTTTTTAATTGTTTTAAATTTTATTCCTCACCCACAACCTGGCATGCATTTTTTGCACAGGAGATGGACCTGTTGGCGTAGGTGGACCAGCCAGGGAGCCTCATAGACAACTGTGTAATGCGGCCAAGTTTTATGCTCTCGCGTAAAGCTGCAGGACTTGTAAGCCTTCAAGCACGGTTGGCGAGATTTCAGCATCGGCTTAAGGAACAAGAGATAATTGGTCAAAAAGAAGGTCCCGTGATAGTTTACTTGGTCGCATTTGCTTTCAGGTTGTTTTGAGGGGTTATGTGCTTTTTAGAGGTTTTTTTTTGGGTGCCCATCTTGTGCTCGGCCTTCAAGTTTTTGATCCGGCCTCAGTTTTCGGTTCTATTGATGTGAAGGCCTTTACCCAAAATTGTGCATTAGAGAAACCTTCACTCGACTATGGCCTTGGTACAGCTTAAGTTGTGTGCATTATTAATACATCATGCTCACCAGTTTGTACCAATAGGGAAAAGAAAAAGATGTAAAAAAGTGTGTAATACAGTGCGAGTTAAAATGCCTGATAGAATAGATAGATGATACAAAATTAATTTGATAGGAAATTGTGCAATGAGACATACTAAATATTCTTGTCACTGCATTTGTTACCGAATCATTTTCGCCTTTCATCCGCAACTCTGGTTAGTCCAAAATCGATTTGCATAAAACTGTGAGCATATGATATAGAGTGATCGTCTTTGGTCCAGGTGCGCCCAATTTCACTGCATTTGAAGGTATTGCAACTTTCAAAGCAATGCATGTGACTTGTGCGTCGTATCCAAGGTACAATTTCTGGATATCAATTCATAAATCTGTATGCTCATTTTGTAATAAGTTTGAATTTGTGGACTCAATGTGTATATACAAAATAAGATTAGGTCTACTACTCGGAGCATTATACTCGAAAACAATATTCAACGCTGATACAAGCTCAAAATACAACTATCAAAATTTGAAAAGCATCATCAAGCAAACACTCTCACCGATTATACGAGCAGATGAACTTGTTGCAAGCTCCGAGGAATTACCGAGTGCAAAATTGCTCTGATGCAAAAAGGTGGACCTATTCCACTTCAATGACTGATAATATCATAATGTTAGTTCTGTATGAGCTAATTACTACTAATCTAATCAGCTCTCAGCCTTAGAATCTCCTTTGCAGTCCTCTTCCTGAAATAAGGCATGTGTTCCTGGAAGACAGAAGCACATCAGGCTACAATCACAGCTATTTTAGGAACTCTAAACCTATGATATATTCATAGACTACCAAATCTTTCTTAAAATCATTCTCCGCACACATACACCCATATGGTTAAGCTAGGCGATTATCAAGAGCAATCCACTACTACGCATATACTGCACATCCAAATTTGATTTTTTTGTAATTGGATACAAACTATTACAAATAAACTATTTAGAAATAAAATCTGGGATGATTTACAGTGTTTTAAACATGAACTGTATGCTGTCAAAATCAATGTTTTAAACTATTCATAAAATATATTTTTTGCCACTTGATACATGGCTAAAACACGCTACAGCCATTGAAAATTTTGTTTCTAAGTAGTCTCATCTGTATTAAATCACATCCACTTCTCAATTTGGAAACAGCCATTGAAAATTTTGTTTCTAAGTAGTCTCATCTGTATTAAATCACATCCACTTCTCAATTTGGAAACCCAAAATTTTGCATCTTGGATACTACCAATAGCTTCTAAGTAGCCTGTGTATTAACAACATATTCAAAGGTATACATTTTCAATTTGGAAATTCATAAGTTCAATTTTTATCTAGAGTATTCACATGAATGCACGTGTGTGGTGTGTGCAAAGAAAATTACATGATACCAAATTCTATCTAAAAGATATTTGGCAGCAGCATCTTGTCAGAAAGTTGTGTAAGAGTGTGAAGAAAATTACATAATACCACATTCTGTCTAAAAGATATTTGTCAGCAGCATCTTGTAAATTTATGAAAAACGACTTTTATGCTATAGGTAGTGAGAGTCTACTTGTTTACCCAAAATTGGGCGAGTCAATATTAACCCTTTTTCATATATGCAAAATAAAAAAAAACCATCTATTATAGGCAATTGGAATTCTGATTAGAACATCTAAATTACAAACAATCCAGGAATAGAAAAAACAAAAGAGATTCTCACCTGCCCAAATGTAAGATCTAAACCTCTGCTGTAAAAGTCTATATATTTGAGCATGAACATTCCGCAGTCATACCTGTTCAGAAAAAAAGCATCCATTCACGCCTAACATAATAACTACTCGAAAAAGAAGCTTAATAAACCAAAAGCAAGTTGAAAGGACAAGGTACTACTGAAAAAAAGTTTAACATATGAGATATAATATGTATGCGATAAAAATGTAGTAGAGACCAGTATTTTAGTAGAAGAATATACAACCAAGGAGGCTGAGGTAGTGAAAGAAAGAACGATAAACAGTTAAACTATTTTAACAGTGTTCAAGCATGGAAGCCTCGTGAATACATGACACAAAATGTACATACCCATTTTCCTGCAAAGGAAGATTCTTAATTGTTTCTTGCTTCCAAGAAACTGCATCAATCTGTTTACTGCTCTTGTCCTTTACTTCATCCATCAAATATTTAACCTGGCATTCACATGCACAGAAATCATAAATAGCAAAACTTATGTTATCTTATACTTGTTTGTATAACATCAAGTACTTGTACCGAAATACTTAGATATAAGTTAATTTTACCAATACTCTTAGCACTGTTTTGTCCATACCGCCAAGTGAATCAAGATACTGGAATTTTTGCTCCTTTATGTTGATAATTGCTAAAACCCAATGTTTACTTTTATGTATGGGAACAAAAATCTGCACAGGAAATTGTTAACTTGATAAGGCCAATTTTACTTAGAAATTCAAGAAACAAATAAAGTAAATAAAAGGGTTACAACTTCTTTACTTTGTCACATTCAATAAGGCCGTACCCTATCTTTCTCTGGGTAGTCCACCTTTTAACAGCCTTGAAGTCATAAGCTTTCCCTCCGCTGATGAGCTAGAGAAGAAACCAAGAAGACAGAAAATTTTACTACTTAAACTTATAATCACTGGCGTTACTCAGGACTGAAGATTTCACTATTCAAAAAACAATAAGCACAAGCAAGAAAAATTGTAGTTGTTGAATACCTGAATACTATATTAAAGTGTAATATGTAAACAAATTCAGATGGATTTAAGAATATGTTTGTGATCAAGGGCAAAATAATCTGAGAACCATGCTACAGAATTGTGCAAACGAAAAAGAACATGCAAGTCCTGTATGTTGTGTGTGCGTCTTTCTTTTTTATTTGTGTGTCTTTTTTTTGGTAGAGGTTTTTTTTGCTTTTTTTAGGGGGGGGGGGGGTGGGTGGCGCGGGTGGTTTAATGAATGAGGGAAGAGCGACCCCGGTTGGCCGTTAGAAATGGGAGTCGTGAAAATATCATATTGACTTGCATTATTGAATGAGAATACAAATGCAAGAAAAAGATTGATAAGATAAGTATTGCACTCAAAGTATAGGAAGGAGTCATTTTATCAGTAAAAACCCTTGCAATTTTCATGTATAAGAGAAATCAAATAAAATTGAATTCACAATCTGATTGATCTAGTAGCATACTTGTATTTTTGCCCATTCTCCATAATGTTATGGAATGTTTTAAAGCCTAGTTAACATCACATGACATAAAACCTAGAATGTCATAATCGTATACCCATTTCTCTGTCTTTTTAGATACATGAAATTGGAACTCTGTATGGTCTAAATTCTAATAATGCATGAAACATGAGAATAGCACTGACAAAACACCAAAATGTCAGAATATTGGAATTTCCCGTAGGTCCAATTTCTACGAATTAGTCGGAGTTCCTACTTGTAAGTTACATTGCTTTGTTATATCTATATGAGTTTAATTACCTTCCAAACACCATAATAACTATCACCTAGTGTCAGATTCCATAAATCAGAAATTTCACTTTTCAGAGGGAACAAATTTCACTTTCTAGAGTAGAGTAGTGTTTTGAAATTGATACAGATTGGGATCATCACACGGTCTGATTTGCACTAGATCCTAGAATTCCATTCAAATGCAACTAAATTAGCCCTTAGTTAGACATAAAATGATATAAAAGCAACTATTATGTAAATTTACTATCATTGTTACTAATTCTGAAGGTGATTCAGCACCATGTAGCAGTGTAATAAGTGGACAGCACCAGAAGTCCAGCAGCAGGCTGCCCTATGGCAGGCTTGAAATAATGCATATACTATGTTGAGAACATCTCAAACTTTTAGATATGTAGAGGAGGTATATTGAACATTATAAGAAATCCAAAATTTTTGAAGTGCACTATCAAACGTTGCATATAGGAGCCACTACAACATGATGCAACATACATCATTGTACACACCACATCATGACAGAAGTATCTATTCTAAAATAGTGCATTGAAAATTATTGATAAAATGGCAAGATCATTGTTTGATGCATGTTTAAAAACGGTCATGGATCCCAATGTAAGTTATGCGGCCACATAAGCAGTACTTATTAGCAGACAAAATAAAGTATTGACAGAACTAATATCACATAAGTGGATGTGAGATAACACTGGCAAGAGCCATGGAATCTGTAATAAATGATATAATGAAAATCATAGACCTCATAATTTCTTTTTCAGAAACTAGTGAGTGATTATCAAGTCTGGACTAACAGAGCACAGTAACAGTATGCTATTGACAAACAATATGTGAGCAACTTGAAAATATAATAAAATTACATTGATCTCTGTATTTTCTGTTCTTTCCAAAGATTTGCTGTCAAACGCAATAAGGAATCAAATGGTTCCAGTTTATATATAAGGATCCTATCGCTTCACTGTCCTTGTTTTATGCTACCAGTTAACACTAATTAGAAATAAACCAAGTACTACTACTTCTGAATTATGTCGAACAATTTCCAAACTTTCAGCTTTTCGGCTTTTTCCAGCCATTTTAATCCTTGTGAATTACTCCAAAAGGAATAACTATGATTTGCATATAAGTAATGCAAGTATGCAACATGCTTCATTGTTTATATTATAGATGTAAACTACACATTTTCATTTGTTCAGACAATAAAAGTACAAATATAAAGAGTTAAAGACTGAAAGGCATTTACCCTTTTGTAAAAGAATGTATTGAAAAAATGGCACTTCAAATAGTTTCTGGGTTCTCTTTTTTCTCTCTCCTTCAATAATTCAAGGTACAGGTTGATAACCTACAAAAAAGAAAAAACTCATCATGGGAACCTGAGCCATTCCTGTCATTTCATCTATTAGCAAACAATATAAACTTAAAAAGGAAACAAGCATTACGTCATCATTCAACCAACCGCCGCCCCTCAGACACTGCAGGAGTTCTCTTGTTATCTCAATGCTGGAGGTTTTATGTGTGACTAGAACTTCATAGCTGCATTAGGATTTACCAATTTTAATAGTTACCCTTTCATGTAGAGGGAAAAAGAAAAAGAATGATGATTAAAAAGTAAATAATATTGAAACTTACCCCCTGACACCCTTCATAGCATGAAGGACATCATCTTCATCTTCATTTGTGAGTGGGACGAAAGGTTTATGCAGATCCTGAAATTGCTTGACGTTGTATTAAATATAATTAATCAATGGAAAGTCAAAATCACATCACTGACACTCAATAAATCTTTTTGTTAGACTTCAAACAAAGAAGCTTAAAAAGATTTTTTTCATGATTAATGTTTCAGCATAAAGTAGCCTTAAGACAGAGAAACAGAATCAGCAATCAAAGCATCAATGTTTAATGGCTGAAACAGTGATTTCAAGTAAATCTAGGATGACAACTTTAGTTTATGATGTTGTTAACTTACTCTTTTGGCGCTCATATATTCTACTAAACTATAGCCAGACGAAGGCTACTACTAGAAATGTGAAAAACCATGTCATCTTATACCAATTGAAATTCTACAAATGCCTAAAATTTGTCATGCTTTATGGATCTGTTTCTGAATGTTGTGCAATCAAGGCCTAACATGCCGCAAAAATGTATAAACTGAAATGAGAATGTTTGCATGAACAACAATACAGATCAACTTGAGATATTAAGGATAGCTCTTATCAAGGAGGATGTGGGCAAAACTATAGGATTAATTACATCCCGATACCTTGTGGTATGGTGTAATTGTCTAGGTGACCCTGGGTGTCTTTTATCTACACGGATAACCCTGAGATTACTACCGAGGTTACACGGGTAACCTTGGTGAAAATAATCTTAGGATTAGTAAGGGTTACATGTGTAACCTCAATCAGTAATCTTAGGGTTATTTGTGTAGATACACAACCCCAGGGTCACCTGCATAAGTACACGATACAACAGGGTACCGGGATATAACTAAACCAAAACTATAAAGGTCATCCGATGAGTGTGTGTGGGGAAAAACTAGATATGAGCTTACAGCTCATTCTCATAGATTAGCTACCAAGAGATGGTTACTAATATGGTTCACGGAAATGAGCTTACCCTACTAGTCACATCATAAGGGTAGCCCTTACCATTCCAAGTCTTGATAGTTCATTTCTGAAACGAGCTTCCAAAATTCCCCTTCCCTCAGACGCACACATGAACCAGATTGCCCCTTGGGACTGTTTTTAATGTATGGGAAAGTGTACTTTGGCATGAACTGTGAAAAGAAGGGAAGGAGAATAGCAGAAGAGATGTTCCTCAAACCAGCCAAATAAAGAAAAAGATTCATTAAAACAACTTGGATGACAGGAATTCATGTCTCTTCATCACTAAAAAGTTATGTGTTTTCTTTCTTTACTCATTTCTTTTTGTACTGTGAACATTTCAAAAATGATTATTCGAGAATTTGAACTATACTTTCATGTTCTCCTTTTCTTGTTTGTCAACATCCCATTCTTACATTATATATCTACCACACTAAACAGGTCTTTTCCTTTTCTCTTAACCTTACATTTTATTGAAGTACATAAAGAGCATAATGCAAAAACAAAAGGAGCCACAAACAGTGAGATTTAAATGAAATAATTCATGAACAGTCTTTGTCAATCATTTTCATCCAATTGGAGCTTGCAAATTCATTCCCGAGTAGTTGATAAAGCATTTTCCGTTTTCAATTGTGTCTCTGCACCAGTACCAATTAAATTGTTTCCACTTATCAAATCTCTATTGCATATTGCTTGATCTCCACCTGCAATTTTTTCTTTCCTTTCCTTCATTCCAGGATGTGTCAATTTAATCACTGATTCGTTTCTATTCTCTATTCAATTACAGCATGCTTAACTTAGTAAAGATAAAATTTCCCAAAGGAAAAATTTAAAAGCTAGAACTAAAGAAGAGCACCCTTTTTTTCCCTTTTTTTGTAGCTGACATTAGTTCCCCCAATCTAACTTACGTTAAAACAAGTCCGCCCAAAAACCCGTATATTTAAATGAGCCCCCGAAATCACTCAAAGTTCTTTCAAATCAATACCTCTGTTATAATCTATAGACTTAGTCCCTGATTAACTAAACAAATGCTTATTTTACCCATCATACACTCATCTCTATTAGCTATTTATTTCGGGACTTATTTTGATACAAACTTAAATATATGAAAGAAAGGGAGAAAATGAAAAGAAAATAAAAAATAAAAATAAGAAAAAGAATATACCTCCTTCGATTTCTTCTTGTTTAGCACCTCATCAACTAATCGAAACCCTAGCAGCTTCTTCTCGGTCAACCTCAACTGAAATTCCAAATCATTATCGTTCTTCTTCCTCAAATAACTCTCGTACAACTCCTTATACAAAGGAATCTCCGCCTTTGTTTCAACCCTAACAATCTCCTCTTCAATCTCCGGTGCCCTAACCTCTTCTTCTCTCACCGGCGGCGGTAGCTCCACCGCCGGTGACCGACCTCCTCTCGACCTCACACCATTCTCCTATACTCATCCAGCCCCAGACCCTTATCGCGATCCATCCTCACCTCAAACTCGGATCCGAATCGTTTTCCATAGAGAATCGACTCGGACTTCGGACCGTTTCCTGTTGAAGTTTGAGAATCAGACGAAAGCTTTGAGGATCCGCTGCGGACCGTGAACAGGTCGCCGGAGTGGATTGGCGGTGGCCAGCGGCCGTGATCTGGCGAATCGACGGCGGAGCTGAGGGCTTGGGCTTCTTCGACGGCGGAGTTAACGGGGAGAAATCGGAGAAGCGCTTTCGGTTGTCCGTTGAAGCGCCCATTGATGAACGGAGAGGTCAGGACGGAGGATTTCTAGGGTTTTGGTTTGAGATTCCAGGGAATTTCTTTTTGAGCGGGAGATTTGGGATTTTTTTTGGAGGGGGTTTTGAAACCCTAAATTTTTTTTTTAAAACCTCTGGAGGGGAAAGCTTTTAATAGAGAACGCGTGCGGAGGTTGAAATGGGTTATCGGGTCCGGATCTGCATCAAACAAGGCCCACAAGGGCTTTAGGCGGCGGGCCGATAAGTAACCAGCTAGTATTATTTATCTTTTTAATTTTATATTACTACTTTTTATTTTTTATTGGCCCACTATTTTATATTGTTTGGGCATAAAAGCAGATATTAAAATAGATGTAGCTTAAATGGAATAAAAAAAGAGTCATTTGTTATATGAAGACAACTTTTTCACATTATTCTGAAACTATACCTTATTTTGGTTGTCCTTTCATCATTCTACCAAATACTAGTAAGATACAAATTTGATGAAACCAGCCCTATAAGGGGCTGTTTGGTTACTTTCCTTCACTTTCCATAGATGATTTTCCTTTACTTTCTTGTGTTTCCTTCACTTTCCTGAAAAATGTTTCTTGCGTTTGTTTCGCCCAAAAATATGTAGTGAAAGTACTTTACATCATTTTCTATTGTTTGGTTCAACTTGAAAAAAGAAGAAAATATGTAGTGAAAGTACTTTACATCATTTTCTGGTGTTTGGTTCAAACTAAAAAATTAAGAAAACTTGCTTGTGGTCACCATGGTAAGATTACCACCCAACATAATAGTTGTGCTCAGAAAAGACCATTATTTCATTATCTGCCTTGCCATAAAGTTTATAAAGCAATGTTGGCTGCAATATATTACATCGCCAATATATTGTTGCTATAAACTTTTGACTGCATATCTTAAAAATAGCACATCATCATAACACAAAATATGCATACCAACCAAAGGCCAACCAAGAGCTGAAACCAAGGCTCTCCCCCCGCCAATATACTGTTGCTATAAACTTTGGCTGCATATCTTAAAAATAGCCCATCATCATAACACAAAATATGCAACACAACCAAAGGCCAACCAAGAGCTGAAACCAAGGCTGAGAGCAAGTTGAAACCATCACATTAATCACAAATATGGATCCTTCGAACCAACACAACAAAGAGCTGAAACCAAGGCCAAGTGGAACACAAATTCAGACTCAGCAAAAGCCAACACAACAATTTAGCTCCATAGACCAAGCAACTGAAACCAAAGGCCAGCTTCTAACTTGGATCATCAACATGGAAACAACAAACCAAACAACCAACATGGAAACAGCAAACCAACACAAGCAAGACATGAAACCAAGGCCGAGAGAACACTGTCAGACTCACCAAAAGCCAACCAAGGCCAACATGGAAACAGCAAACCAACACAACCAAGAGATGAAACCAAGGCCGAGAGAACAAATTCAGACTCACCAAAAGCCAACCAAGGCCAACATGGAAACAGCAAACCAACACAACCAAGAGATGAAACCAAGGCCGAGAGAACAAATTCAGACTCACCAAAAGCCAACCAAGGCCAACATGGAAACAGCAAACCAACACAACCAACATGGAAACAACAAACCAACACACCTGGACATGAATCATCAACATGAATCAACAAACCAACACAACAAATTCAGACCTGCAACATGAATCATCAACATGGAAACAACAAACCAACACAACCAAGAGATGAAACCAAGGCCGAGAGAACAAATTCAGACTCACCAAAAGCCAACCAAGGCCAACATGGAAACAGCAAACCAACACAACCAAGAGATAAACAACAAAGCTAGTTCAACTGGACATGAATCTGAAACATGGAAACAGCAAACCAAGGCCAAGTGGAACACAAATTCAGACTCGCCAATATTAATATCATCTTCATTAGCAACAAACCAAACAACCAACATGGAACCCCACTTGTAAACCTGTCAAACAACCACAGGCCAACACAACCACGGAAGCTGCACAAAAACTGAGCTCAAAAGGGCCAAACAAGCCAAGATGGAAAGCAAACCAAAGCTCATAAGAAAGTATAGAAAATGTGCTCAGAAAAGGCTCTTTTCTTCATTATATGCCTCGCCATGAAGTTTATAATAGCAATGTTGGCTGCATATACTGCCTCGCCAATTGATTACTAGTATAAACTTTAGCTGCATATCGTCAACAATGAAGCCCATCATCATAACACATAAAATGCATACCTCTTATCCGCTAACTCAGCGAGGGGAAATCATTATAGAACCCCACTTGTAAACCTGTCAAACAAGTTTGCATTAGCATACCAAGTTTATAATTTAACTTGTAAAGCCACGACTGAAATGCATGAAAATAGAGGTAGTAGCATTAGTTTTGTACTAATGTAAGTTTAATACATGTACCATAGTTGTGTTTGCAAAATGATGAGCAATCATCCAACCACATGACCAAACAAAAATAATTACGCTCATTTACATACAAAAATAGTTATACTAGCATTGTTACAATTAGCTAGTTTCACAAAAATATCCCAAAAGCATCGTAATCCGAGCAAAGGCCAACATTCTAATCAAGAGGTTGACTCTTCATGAACTCAGTCAACGCCTTCTTTTGCATAATAGTTGGCCTCCCCATAAACAACCTAGCTTGTGATTCATTCTCATGCAATTGTTGATAAAACTTATCAAGAAGTTCTATGTCAAATTCATCATGTGCAAATATAGCTTGTGCCAACTTCTCGGTCCAATGCATACTCACCATGCGCATAGATGAGGTGAATTGTTTTACCTCATTTACTATCTCACGCATAAGCACCGTGTCCTCACTAAACCTAGGCTCCTTTCCTTTATGTTGAAATACCTACTCACAGTCTCGCCAGATCTAATGAAATGTGACCTAATACTTCGATTTTTAGTTTTATGCCCCAAAATATTCAAAGTCATAGCAAGTTGCTCCTCCATTGTAACATGTCTTGAGTCTCGTAATAAATCATTGATCCTCAATATCTCTGCAAGCTTCATAAAAGCACCACTTCGCATTCTAACATAGTTGACACAACTATCACTAAATCCATTATATATGCGATCCAGGTGTTGTTATTTCATTATCTGCCTTGCCATAAAGTTTATAAAGCAATGTTGGCTGCAATATATTACCCCGCCAATATATTGCCCCGCCAATATACTGTTGCTATAAACTTTGGCTGCATATCTTAAAAATAGCCCATCATCATAACACAAAATATGCAACACAACCAAAGGCCAACCAAGAGCTGAAACCAAGGCTGAGAGCAAGTTGAAACCATCACATTAATCACAAATATGGATCCTTCGAACCAACACAACAAAGAGCTGAAACCAAGGCCAAGTGGAACACAAATTCAGACTCAGCAAAAGCCAACACAACAATTTAGCTCCATAGACCAAGCAACTGAAACCAAAGGCCAGCTTCTAACTTGGATCATCAACATGGAAACAACAAACCAAACAACCAACATGGAAACAGCAAACCAACACAAGCAAGACATGAAACCAAGGCCGAGAGAACACTGTCAGACTCACCAAAAGCCAACCAAGGCCAACATGGAAACAGCAAACCAACACAACCAACATGGAAACAACAAACCAACACACCTGGACATGAATCATCAACATGAATCAACAAACCAACACAACAAATTCAGACCTGCAACATGAATCATCAACATGGAAACAACAAACCAACACAACCAAGAGATGAAACCAAGGCCGAGAGAACAAATTCAGACTCACCAAAAGCCAACCAAGGCCAGCATGGAAACAGCAAACCAACACAACCAACAAGGAAACAACAAACCAACACAACCAAGAGATGAAACCAAGGCCGAGAGAACAAATTCAGACTCACCAAAAGCCAACCAAGGCCAGCATGGAAACAGCAAACCAACACAACCAACATGGAAACAACAAAGCTAGTTCAACTGGACATGAATCTGAAACATGGAAACAGCAAACCAAGGCCAAGTGGAACACAAATTCAGACTCGCCAATATTAATATCATCTTCATTAGCAACAAACCAAACAACCAACATGGAACCCCACTTGTAAACCTGTCAAACAACCACAGGCCAACACAACCACGGAAGCTGCACAAAAACTGAGCTCAAAAGGGCCAAACAAGCCAAGATGGAAAGCAAACCAAAGCTCATAAGAAAGTATAGAAAATGTGCTCAGAAAAGGCTCTTTTCTTCATTATATGCCTCGCCATGAAGTTTATAATAGCAATGTTGGCTGCATATACTGCCTCGCCAATTGATTACTAGTATAAACTTTAGCTGCATATCGTCAACAATGAAGCCCATCATCATAACACATAAAATGCATACCTCTTATCCGCTAACTCAGCGAGGGGAAATCATTATAGAACCCCACTTGTAAACCTGTCAAACAAGTTTGCATTAGCATACCAAGTTTATAATTTAACTTGTAAAGCCACGACTGAAATGCATGAAAATAGAGGTAGTAGCATTAGTTTTGTACTAATGTAAGTTTAATACATGTACCATAGTTGTGTTTGCAAAATGATGAGCACTCATCTAGCAACATGAACATCCAAAAATAATTACACTCATTTACATACAAAAATAATTATACTAGCATTGTTACAATTAGCTAGTTTCACAAAAATATCCCAAAAGCATCGTAATCCGAGCAAAGGCCAACATTCTAATCAAGAGTCTCGCCAGATCTAATGAAATATGACCTAATACTTCGATTTTTAGTTTTATGCCCCAAAATATTCAAAGTCATAGCAAGTTGCTCCTCCACTGTAACATGTCTTGAGTCTCGTAATAAATCGTTGCTCCTCAATATCTCTGCAAGCTTCATAAAAGCACCACTTCGCATTCTAACATAGTTGACACAACTATCACTAAATCCATTATATATGCGATCCAGGTGTTGTTTTCTATTTTGATATTGTATTATTTTCTCTTCACTAGGACCTGCACGTATAGATCTACGTCTACTTTGCATTCTCCTCATGAATACCATAACCATAACCAAGACAGATAGTACAGCACCGAACACATATTAACTACGGTTTCTTCATCGAGATCACCATCCATCTAAAATACAAACGTCATATTAAAGCAGATAGTAACAGTAAATGAAGATGGTTGTCTAATTATATTGCTAAGGTCCTACTTGCAAAATAAAAACATGTGTTGATTGAGGCATTAAAAGAGACGAGCTTTCATGATTTTGTCACACGTAATCATAAGTATCCTAACCAGACTACACTACTCAATTTCCCATGATATATCCATTTAACCATATATATCATAATATGATATACCATTTCATATTTGACAAGTTCAAGATGTGCATAACATGATTTGAATATCAAGATACCAAATAACAAGATACCAAACAAAGAAATCAAACAAATGATCAGGTCTATCTATCCATCACATAATTCACAAATCAACATGGGAAAAGTAGACAAAAGACCACAGTATCAGTTTAGTATTCAAACTTTTAACATACCACAAGTGAACAAATTCTACAAAGTCGGTTTGTTCCTTTGCAAAACTTAATTTCCCACACCCTTCAAAGTATGTCAGGTATCATTTTTTCCTTTTCTTAACGAAATCAATAAGTAAGTGTGAGTCCCTGTTCTTCTTTTCCCCTTTTCTTTACATGACAGAGATATGGTAATGATCTTATTGATCTTAAACCTGATATGATCTCCGAACCCGAGCAAAGATCCTGAACTAAAACCCTAGCTCAAAAATATACTTGGGTTTAGGGTTTTTTACCTGAGTAGCGCCCAATTTTCTCAAGAACAGCGAGCGTCAGGCCAAATCCCCAAATCAACCAGGCGATCGAGAGCTGAATCGTCAGGCCAAATCGTCAGGCCAAAACCTCAAGAACAGCGATCGAGAGCTGAAGGAGCAAACAGCGGTGCGAAGAGCAGGTGGCAGGAGAAGATGGAGGGAAGGAACGGCGCGGTGATCAGAAACCTAGGGTGAAAGGGGAGGGGAGGGGGGGAAACGAGATTTGATCACTTTCCACCAAAATCGGGGTTTTTGGAACGGAAATGATCTTTCAGCAAATCGCCACTTTCAGCCCCATTTTCATTCGCCGCTCAAAACGAACCAAACAACCGTAAATGAAGAAAACTGACAGTTTTTTCGTCGTCAGTTTTCAAAACAGCCCCTTTACGACACTTTCAGCTCAAATTTGAGCGAAACAAACAGCCCCTAAGTGGCCCAACGGTTGGGTGTTGGGTTAGTCTAGGAGGTCTAAAGATTGATGACGTGGTGGCTCTGGGTTTTTTTTATTTTATTATTGACTACCTAGTCAAGATTTCTTGTCATCAAAAGAAATTTGATGAAATCTACTCCTTTTTATTTTCCGTTTTGACTAATAGTATATTTTGATTTTAAGTTACAACCTTTGGTAAGGTTTGACAAAGGGTTAAGTGAGGGGTTAAGGAGACTTAACCCCTTCTTAACCCGTCAAACACATAAAATCTATACAATGGTTAAAGTGAGTTAACCCTTCATAATTTGCCAAACATAAAAAATATAGAAGGGTTAAGCTAACCCCTCAAAATGAGTTAACCCCTCAAAATGAGGGTTTACTAATACTCCAATTTAGAAGGATTCAGAGTTAACCCTTCTAAGTAAAAATAATAATAATCAAAATCATTGTTATTCCCAAACACCAAAACTGATCACAATGACTAAATTAAAACTTATTTAACGGGTTAATAATTTAGTCCTTCAGATAATTGAATGGGCTAAGTACATTAATCCTTCTTTTTAACCCATCTTTTTTAACCCTTTGCCAAAATGAGTAAATTACATATAAAAAACAACAATGATGAGGACGTCTTTATTCCAATAATAATAATAATAATAAAGTAAAATTAAAAATTAAAAAAAATAGGATCAATCACAAGAATCCTATTTAGCGGCTTAGTTAAGCTAAATTACATATTAGCTTTGGAAATATCTAAGTTCGTATCAAATAAAATGCAGAGTAGAAGGTCGTAGTTTTGAATCGCGTAGTAAAAGCATTCGCATATATTAATATTTTAGCGTGCATATTAAACTCACAACAAGTTCCATGTATCACTTAATGTGATGTGATAGTAGTAGATAAAATTCAGACCAACTCGCAATTATTAGATATACAATCCACATATCCATTCTCCTTCGTAGTTACATTTGTTTGTAACACGAAAAATTCTTTAAGCACCCAAAATATAGGACCAATAGGAGGGGGACACCTCACTTGTCCCCTCTATTGGTCCCATATTTTGGGTCCCTGTAGCAAAGCTCTTGTAACACATGTAATCCACAACTTTATTAGTACCATATCAACATAACTAAGGCAGATATCAACATAGAAGGACCAAAGTCTGAGATCTATATTTTGATCTATTTCCAGTTCTTAAAAAAAAAATACATTTCAAAGGTAAATATACGAAACATAGCTACAGCATTTTGTGATAATGGCATAAAGACAATAAAGTTGTAGCACCACTTGACTTATTTATCCTCTCATATTTGCAATTCAAATTAGGTAACGACATCAACGCCGCAGATATATTTTATATATCGGAAAACATCAAATAAATAAAAAAAAAATTTAGAAGAGAACAGATAGACAAATACAACACTCAACTCAGAAAAATTTAATTATCTCCCTCTCTAGTTTTTTTTTTCCCTTCCAATTTCTCCGGTAAAAAGCTTCCCTACCTTCTCTACTCTCAGACAAAATCATTGACGACTCGGTTTCATTGACAGGCAGAAGTGAATAATGATCTTCAACCTCTGATATCTTCATCGATACGACCAAGCCCGCTCAATTTGTGCATTAACCGTTGCTGACCTATCAACTCAGTGGACGACACTTTATAGGTCGGATGAGCGATTAGCATACTCCTGAACTAATGCACCGAAGAGAGATGGCCTCTCGATCAAGTTGGAGGGGCTGTCGAATTCTTTCGCCCTACCTGCTCAACAAAATAGATTTCGTGATATGTAGTCCTCAAGCTTCTTCATACAAATTACTATTAATAAAAAGATAAATGTATAATTCATAACGGCATTGAAGAAAATGGTTTCCTTAGTTGGACTCTTAAGTCTGTAAAGTGACAGCTCTGGTTTTGTTAAATAAGAAGAGAGAAAGGATGGTGAGATTCACTTGTCTAATGAGACTCATGGGTGTGTGCCCAACACTATGTCCATCTCTTGGTAGCTCATTAGCTGCATGCTAGGTTATTTGCGCGACTGCAGAAATCAACAACTCTATATTGATTATATAATCAATTTCTTCATATGCCATGAATCTGCGATATCCAACTATTCTAGTTACTGGATTCTCTATGTAACAAGTTTTTGGGTCATGAAACCATCATCAAAAAATCAATTTCCTGAAGATGTATCGGTAATTATTAAATAAAATTAAACAACAGCCTAATATATTTTCATTAATTTGGCAAAAGTGATAACTTTTCAATACACTTTGAAGTTAAAGTCAATAATCAAAATCATTTGCGAGTTGTAATCAATGTAATTTTTGCAAGAATAAACTACTAAGAGACTGACCAGCATCAATAACCAGAACTCTGTCACAATCCATGACTGTCGGTATTCTGTGAGCAATGCTGATAATGGTACATGAAGCAAAGTCCTCACGGATAATTTTTTGAATCACGCCATCTGTCTGTGAATCCACCGAGGCAGTCGCCTCATCCATAAACAAAATTTTGCTGTGTTTCAGCATTACACGGCCTAGACATAGAAGCTGTCTCTGCCCTACGCTCCAATTCTCTCCGTAGTCAACCACTGGAAATTGGCAATACAAGAATTCATAAGGACCCAAGAAAGTTGAAATGAAAAGAAAAACACTACTCGTCCTACCTAGACACCAATTTATTTTCAGTTTTGAGGGTAATGTATCGCAAAGGTAAAACTGATAGGGTCCAGATTGTGCACACTTGAATAATTTTACTAGCTATCAAGTTGGTGCAGTGAAAGCAAGAAACTTTTAACTATGATTTTCATAAGAAACCAAGCTTCTTTTTAAAATTCCAAGCTGAACAAACAAATTCACAAGTGAAATAAGACTGTTTTGTTAAACTAGTTCCATCATAGTCGATCCAAAAGAAATAGAGAAAAATTTTGATACCCATTGCGTCTAGCTTCTCAGGTTTTGCAGTTACCACGTCTTTGAGCTGACAGCGTTCAAGGCTCTGCAAGTAGGCAAGTCGCATGGGAAAACTCATTATACACAACACTTGACAAACCGTTAAGCAAACCGTTAAGCAAATGAAAGAAAAACAATTGACTAACATATCTAGAGAATTAAAGTTCAATTGACAGCCAATTAAACTGGATAGATAACGCTATGAATTCAACAGCCTAATCCGATGTTCATAGGTCACAAAGTTAGCTTATTAAAGTGGAACTTGGAACCTTGACAATGTCACTTAGGGCACTGATAGAATTGGAACTTGGGACCTTGATGATGCCAATTTGATGCTTGAGGCTTTATTAAATGAATGGAGCTTTCTACTATAAGCCAAGCAAAATTATGATGCTCCTTCTTGGCCATTTCCTGAACGAAAGTGGGTCCTCCCTTGCATGAGGGAGGCCTCTGCAATGCACCAAGCTACTCCTATTTATAGCTTATATACTTATGGTACATTATCACAGGTGCACTAGCACATGTATATAGTAACAAAGAGAAAGATTGATAACATATTTCTTTTTTGTTTTCCTCTCATTTTTTGAATCCGCGGAGATGGGGTGAGGTTGGGATTCTCATTAGTGGGAAGATATTACTCTTCAAACGTTACTTTAACTCGAATTTTTTGAATGTGGAGCAAAATGAAGAACCAACCTTGATTCTTGCCATTAATATTTACACAATTCATGAGGAAAAAAAAACTCATTATCTTGGCGGACATTCAATCTTTTGTTCCTTCTAAAAGATCGATCCTCCTCCATAGCAGGATTATATATGAACTCGGTTATAATACAAGAGCAACAAACTACTGAAGTTTATGGAAATCATGACCGAAAATAGCTAATTTCGGAATGATATTTCAGCAAAAAACTATCCCGCATAATCAAAATATGCTTAGTAAAATGGTTATTTTAAAAGAAAAAAACAGAGAAAACATCAGACATACCTGCCATATCTCATCATCTGAATATTGTCTTGTTGGATCAATGTTACTTCTCACTGTTCCCTCAAAAAGAACAGGTTCTTGAGGAATAATACCAAAGCGCGACCTCAGATCATGAAGGCCCAATGTACAGATATCTACTCCATCGATGATTATCCTACCTCGATATGGCTCCACTATCCGGAATAATGCTTGAATAAATGTTGATTTACCACTACCAGTTCTCCCGACAACACCAATCTTTTCTCCACCTCTAATGCTAAGTGTAATGCCATTCAGGACTAAAGGAGTGTTTTCCCGGTATCTTACCTGATTGAGCAGCAAATACTTTAAATATATACCTTAAGGAACAGGTTAAAGAAAGATTGAGACAATTGACTGAGGCATAGCTATCCAGTGAAAAGAAAGACAATCTACTCCAAAATTTCAAAGAAAACATGAAGTAAGAAAAGAGCAACTCATATGGGATATTCCGTGGAGGCATGGAGAATGGTGTACTGCACTACTGCCAAATACTTCACTTTCCAAAGATAACTAAAAGTTGCTTATAATTGTCATTATCGGAATAAATAATATTTAGTCCAAATATACCTGCAAGCCAGAGACATCAATGTCTCCTTGGGTGGGCCAACTTGGTGAAGGAAGACAGTCTTCGATCTCCCAAGCAGCCTCAGAAGGAATATCAGTAAACTGTTTCATCCTCTCAACAGAAACCATTCTGTTCTCCATAAAGCAACTAATCCATACCGTCCAGAAGAGTGCACCATTAAGGGAAAGACCGTAGGAAAGAGATAGACCAACATACTCTACGTCACAAGAAACAAATCAATCAGTCCTGAAGGAAGACAATATAAATATTTATATAACCGCATCAAGTTAGCAATTCAACATCACATCCATCACTGTTTAACTTGCAAATAGATAGTTTGTGATCCATATGAATAATGTACCTATATTGACCACGAGGAAGTACGTGATAGACCATATGAATAATGATCCACAAAGTCATTTTCACTACCCAAAGCGTTTATCGTTAAAAATCAAGTAGTTTAAAAGAACTTCCTCTCATGTATCATCAACAATTGAAAAATTAAACCTACTTGATCCATGGATGAACTGTGTTGAAACAAATGATTAATGTTGTTCATTGAACACATGATTTGTCATCACGTATCTTTTAACTCATGTAGATCGTGATGAATGATGTAAACTATCCATTGGAACTGTACAAGTGTACACTTTTGTGAGGACTGGATAGGAAGTTTCCTACATGGCTATCATATCTCTGTATCTATATAAGAGAAAGCTAAACATGGTTCAATTGGAAGAATTGGATGCAAACCCTTCTTACGAAAAAGCCAGTCTATAGGAATATATCTACACTATTTGAAAGTCTAAATGCCAAAACTTAGCGATTTAAAGGTACCCATCCATCACCTTGTCATAAATCAGAGTCAACATCAGAGTGTTGTCCACACTTATGGTATTGTTAGTGAGGGTCTTCCCTTAATTTACCAAAAAAGATATGTTCTTGCTCTCTCTGGATAATGTACTGGGACAGGCCAATAGTAAACTAACTATTTATTAGGATGAACTATCTTAGTCTCAGATACGAAAGATTCCTAAATCTCGGAAACAAGCCAATTCTTCTTAGTGAAGTAATACGCAATTAGTTGTTCATCTTTAAATAGAGTTATAAAACAATAGCCACAGATGATGATGATGAAAATTTAGCAATCCTGCTTAAGAGAACATCTTTTGGGGGACAATAGAGCTTAGAACTTAAACCAACTAAAATCATCTAAAGTGAGTATCTTCTACGCAACTTATGATCAACAATAATCAAGCATTATGAAACTGATTTTAATATGTACCTGGTTTGACAAAACTGCTAGGCAGCATCACCATTAGGAGAGCAGATATACAGAGGATGAAACTTCCAATCAGTTCCAACCTGAAACCAAGCCACTCGCTAGAGGCCTTATTGTGAAAGTCCATTGTTAAGCTTGAATTAACCCTGTCTAAATTTTCTTGGGAAAACCTATCCTCCTTTCTGAAGCACCTGATGGTTGTTACACCAAGAATCGTCTCTGAGAAATGATGGATAACTGGTGCTTTTGTGATTGACTCCAGACGAGTTAGCTCCCGTGAGGTTGCAAGGTAATATCCCTGCAAGCATGAAATGTAAGATGAAGTAGAACACTTCTTACAAGTATCATCTTTGGTCACTTTTTTACATGGATAAAAAGCCTAATTGCAGTGTATTTGAAGAACTATAAACCAAAAAAAGGTAGAAGATATGTAAATATCTAAAACTTGAGAGCATGTAGAGCATTCTTTTTAAAATACAAGTAAATCTACAACTCGCAACAAAGAGCAAACTGGCAAATCAAAAAATATAATGTGTGTTGTGAATGCTTTGGGGATAGTTTAATAAACAAAAAGAAACTGGAAAAACATCCTACATTTGAATTAACTTACACATTCATTGGCCTTTTTTGTACATGTGCAGACCATACCAAACTTCTTACCATTGCACTAGCTATAAATGTACTTGGTTGTAACCCCAGGGTATACAAGCCTATAGTCAAATGAAAATGTACAGATCCACTAACCAAATTATAACAGTTCAGAAGCTAAAAATCTAGACAATTAATTTATTGAAAGTACGCCATACAAACAAATTTATGAAAACTAGTTCTACTAGAATTGTGGAGTAAAATAATAAACTCCAGTCATCGCAGTCCCAAATCTCACCTGTACCAGGCTATAAAAAGTTTTTTTTGCATGATGTTGCAGATAAGCAAGCCAAAACAAGTAAGTGCATACAAACTTGGAAGTAAAACTTGGGTGTTAAACCTGGGAGGGGTAGGTACTATGTTTCTCAACAGAAATGCACATCAAAGAAAAATAAAGTACGCTTTTCTAAGGTGGCGTCTTCTTCTATGGATGAATCATAGGCAGCCATGTTGCACAGGTGCAGGTGCAGGTGTGGACACAGACACAAGTGCTGATACAGGAGACGGTAAATTTGTAAAATGTAGGATACAGGGACAGCTATATGTACATACATACTGAAGTTAATAATCTATATGAGATCAATATTATTCTTCATTCCCATGTTATGAGAATTAAAGTCTCTATACCATTTTTATGCTTCTTTTATTGAGCAGATTATAAATTGAAAAGACACTCATTTTTTTAACTATGTACCCAAACGACCCTTTAAAATTACTTATGAACTAGGTATGTGCTAAAACGACCCTGTCCTGAGTCCAACAAGTTGCATAAATGAAGGTGAAGTGTACAGTATACATCCAAGAAGTGCATCATGAGTTTTTAAAAACATATGTTATTTAATTGAGTACAGTCTGAACAAACATATGTATATATTCAAGAAGTGTTCATGGAGTGTTGGACATGGACACAGATACCATAAGTGTCCGACACGGATATGAGAGCCTAGATGAAGTGTCCGGGTAACCTAGATTGGCAGTAAAGATTATGTTGCAAAATCTTTCCTAGATCAAGTGTCCGGGTAACCTAGATTGGCAGTAAAGATTCTGTTGCAAAATCTTTTCTTGATGTTAAAGGCTTGAAACTTCTTCATTAGTACATCTGAGAGTTCCTGTAGTGATCCTATATAAAATGATAAAATCATTAATCATATTTTGTCCTAAAGATAGATTTATGCATATTACAAAAGTAATAAAAGTAATAGGGGTTAGGGGCAAAAGGTCTAGTCATTTAGTTTGTCTTCAGCCACGAAGGGGTTTTGATGACTTTGTGTTATTGGAGGAGGATGTCGGCACCTCCTCATCAAGAGAATAATAACAAGGAAAATACACCCAAAAAAAATCCAAAGAAAATCAAAGGAAAAGGGGGTAAAAAAGAGAAACTCCAACATAATGGGTTCTCCTCCTAATTCTCTGCTAGAGGTAAAATTTGAAAGAAAAGAAGGAAAGAGAGAGAATAGGGAGGATGAGCTCAAATTTACACTATAACCCAAAAGCTCTAAGGTATAAGCCTTCTCCTCCTTAACCCAGTTCGATCTCTAGTATGGATGATGAGAAACAAGTTCGATATTGATATTGGCAATAAAAATAAAACAAAAGAAGAAAGAAAGAAGAGGAAGAGCCATCATACACAGAAAGAAAAGAGAGGTGATAAAAATGGGGAAAGTTTACCTTAGGTCCTCAATTGACTAAATAATTCTAAAGAGCCAAATATGAGTAAAGAAGTGAAGGATTTGATAGTGGAAAATTAGTTTTAGGCCACAGAACTGCCAATTTTTTTTGCTAATCGGTCCAAGTTCAGTGAATAGGTCATACTAATTAGAAGGATAATTTACCCTTGATCCCATACGTTCATTAAAATCGTGAACAAGTCTAAATTAGAGCAAATAGGACTACAAACTAAAGGAGATAATTTAGTTCAGACCTATGAAATTTCAACAATTTGCAAAAGGTCCAAACTGAGTAATCTAATGCTAATTTGGACCTAGATTATAGAGCGGTCAATCTATAGTATGAGTATACCTTAAGTTGGTTTTAACCCAATAATTTTATATTATAGAACCTTGTGGATATTGAAGGGGATAAAATTTGGGAAACTCAAATCAGCTTGAAGTGAGTTCATTTCGCACTAGTATTTTTATAAATAAATCACATAATTATTATATTTGATTGATCTTGTGCTCAAGACATAGCTACTCTATTATTTTCAAATATATAAAATGAAATGTGATTTGACCAATACTGTGGTGATTTATCTCCATAATGTGATCTTGAATCTGTATTAGATATGAAAGATAAATTTTTTTATCCATATAAAATATAAAAATAAAATTTGATTTCATATAGAATGTGATATGTGGTTCTGAATCTCATCCAATATCAAATAAATGTGAATTTTGTTTATTTGAAAACTATTGAAGAAAGAAGTATATTTTAAATGTGTTTCAATACAGATTTTTCGTGATTTGGTATTTGAATCAAGAATAAAAAAAGTGAATTTCGTAAACTATTTTATTTTGATATGATGAGTTTACACTCGTTCACTTGATTTGGAAAGGGTTCGTGATTTTGACAAGTGAACAAATTTATACCAATATTATTTTCGGTACAAGTTGATATGTTTTTTGAAATTATGCAATCTGACAAGTGATGTGTTTTTGAAATTAAGCTATTTGACAAGTGATTATCAATGTTTTCAAAACCCTCAAAAAGTCTGCTATGGAGTGATGTGTTTGTGCTTGTCATATGGTAAATGCACATTTTTTTGGCCCTTTTAGGCATTTGTAATAGGCCAGCGGTCTATGGCAGTGTTAGGTGTATTTTATTCCCAGAAATTATGTGTTATATGATGCGTTTTATGCATTCTCATGCTACTCGGCTATAATATTCATAAGCTTAAAGTGATCTATGAGGTGATTGTTGCAACTATGTGAACAAGTCAGAGATTTGAGATTCTGATATTTGACTGTGAATCTGAGAAAACAGTAATCTTTTGGTTTTGCATAAAATTTAGGGAAAAATGCTTCCAGCCCCCAAAACGAATGAAAACAAGCTTCCCACCCCCAAGACTTTTTCAACGGGTGTTTTGCCCCCAAAAGTAAATTTTTTGTTCTCTGAGCCCCCAAACACAAAGCCCAATGAATTTCACACAGGGAAAGACTATAATACCCATTCTCTCTCTCTCTAACCCTGCAATCCCTCTGCTCTCCCTCCTCCCTCCCCCACCTCTCCACCCGCCGCCGCCGCCCTCCTCCTGCCATCCTCACCTTCTCTGCCATCGTCGCTCCGGCCATCCACAGCATCCTTAAGATCCACAACGCGGAGAAAACCTCGGCGCGGTTCGAGGAGTACAAAGAGATAGTCCGCTCGAGGGCCGAGCGAAACTCCGGCGACGAGCGCTGCATAGCCGACGGGAACAAGCGACTGAGGTTTTACTGCTTCATGATTCTCTGCGAGCTGGGTTTCATGGGAGCGTGGGAGCGGGCAGGAGGACCTGTTCATGGGAGCGTGGGAGCGTGGGAGGACCTGTTCATGGGAGCGTGGGAGCGTGGGAGGACCTGTTCATGGGAGCGTGGGAGCGTGGGAGGACCTGTTCATGGGAGCGTGGGAGCGTGGGAGGACCTGTTCATGGGAGCGTGGGAGCGTGGGAGGACCTGTTCATGGGAGCGTGGGAGCGTGGGAGGACCTGTTCATGGGAGCGTGGGAGCGTGGGAGGACCTGTTCATGGGAGCGTGGGAGCGTGCGGGAGGACTCGCCCAACCTAAGAACAATAATAAGAAGAAGAAGGACAAGATTGATAGTAATTACAACCATGCCCCCTAACCTTGGCTGCTCCTGCTTTGGATGGTACAAGAGCTTCTGGGCTCGTTGGGATGCCTCACCCAACCGCCATGTCATCCACCTCATCCTCGATGCCTTTGAAGAGACCCTTGAATCGAAGGAGGCCAACAGCAAGTAGAAGAGGGGGTTGAAGAGTAAAAAGATTGATTTTGATGAGGTTTTGGCGAAAGAGATGAGCGCCCATGAGGAGAAAGTTGATGATGATGGCCATGATGATGGGTACGGGCATGTTACTAATTACCAACGCTAAAACTATTACCACCAAAAAACTTTAAAATAACCCAAATAAAAATATACCGGTTGCTTGTTAAAATTACTCCCCCATTAGAATGTCCTACATTGGTTGTTAAGGTTATATGTTGGTTGTTAATGTTACGCGTTTGTTGTTAAGGTTACGTATTGGTTGTTAATGTTATACAGGTTGCTTGTTAAGGTTACGGGTTGGTTGTTAAGAATATGCGTTGGTTGTTAAGGTTACAGGCTTGTTAAGGTTACGGATTGGTGTTAACGTTATACGGGTTGATTGTTAAGGTTACGGGTTGCTTGTTTAACAATCAACTCGTAACCTTAACAAGCAAACCATATAACATTAACAACCAACCCGTAATCTTAACAACCAACCCGTAACCTTAACAACCAACCAGTAACATTAACAACAAACGCGTAACCTTAACAAGCAACTCGTAACCTTAACAAGCAACACGTATAACCTTAACAACCAACCCGTAACATTAACAACAAACACGTAACCTTCATATTAACGGATCTTGAGGATCTCTCTGTCGGATTGTTAGGCTCTGAAAAACACGCTAATTGAAGAAATATGTAAACTCCTGAACGTAGCTTGAAGCTTGAGAAATGTTGTGAATAGTGCCATGCATATTAATTAAAAGATGTTGACATATTAAGAGTTATTAAAAAAAGCGAGTGTTCTTGAAAAATATATAAATTTATTTTGGTTACCTATTAAAGACGTTAACATGGATGGGCGGGCCAACATGCATAAAAATAGTGCATCTAGACTTCCTATATCGTCTAAAAGTTACTCTAAATATACAGAACACTCAAGATCTCTCTGTCGGAATCAACACGTTTTTCCCCCGTCGAGCTTGGATTTGATGTTTTGGTGCATTTTGTTTGCTTCACTGGTCCTTGTTCTGCTGTTATTGTGATGTCGAGATTTCACCTTGTTTGTTAGGTCCAAGTTTACATTTTTCTTCAATTAGCGTGTTTTTCAGAGCCTAACAATCCGACAGAGAGATCCTCAAGATCCGTTAATATGAAGGTTACGTGTTTGTTGTTAATGTTACGGGTTGGTTGTTAAGGTTATACGTGTTGCTTGTTAAGGTTACGAGTTGCTTGTTAAGGTTACGCATTTGTTGTTAATGTTACTGGTTGGTTGTTAAGGTTACGGGTTGGTTGTTAAGATTACGGGTTGGTTGTTAATGTTATATGGTTTGCTTGTTAAGGTTACGAGTTGATTGTTAAACAAGCAACCCGTAACCTTAACAATCAACCCGTATAATGTTAACACCAATCCGTAACCTTAACAAGTAACCCGTAACCTTAACAACCAACGCGTAGTCTTAACAACCAACCCGTAACCTTAACAAGCAACCTGTATAACATTAACAACCAATACGTAACCTTAACAACAAACGCGTAACATTAACAACCAACATATAACCTTAACAACCAATGTAGGACATTCTAATGGGGGAGTAATTTTAACAAGCAACCGGTATATTTTTATTTGGGTTATTTTAAAGTTTTTTTTGTGGTAATAGTTTTAGCGTTGGTAATTAGTAACATGCCCGCACCCATCATCATGGCCATCATCATCAACTTTCTCCTCATGGGCGCTCATCTCTTTCGCCAAAACCTCATCAAAATCAATCTTTTTTACTCTTCAACCCCCTCTTCTACTTGTTGTTGGCCTCCTTCGATTCAAGGGTCTCTTCAAAGGCATCGAGGATGAGGTGGATGACATGGCGGTTGGGTGAGGCATCCCAACGAGCCCAGAAGCTCTTGTACCATCCAAAGCAGGAGCAGCCAAGGTTAAGGGGGCATGGTTGTAATTACTATCAATCTTGTCCTTCTTCTTCTTATTATTGTTCTTAGGTTGGGCGAGTCCTCCCGCACGCTCCCACGCTCCCATGAACAGGTCCTCCCACGCTCCCACGCTCCCATGAACAGGTCCTCCCACGCTCCCACGCTCCCATGAACAGGTCCTCCCACGCTCCCACGCTCCCATGAACAGGTCCTCCCACGCTCCCACGCTCCCATGAACAGGTCCTCCTGCCCGCTCCCACGCTCCCATGAAACCCAGCTCGCAGAGAATCATGAAGCAGTAAAACCTCAGTCGCTTGTTCCCGTCGGCTATGCAGCGCTCGTCGCCGGAGTTTCGCTCGGCCCTCGAGCGGACTATCTCTTTGTACTCCTCGAACCGCGCCGAGGTTTTCTCCGCGTTGTGGATCTTAAGGATGCTGTGGATGGCCGGAGCGACGATGGCAGAGAAGGTGAGGATGGCAGGAGGAGGGCGGCGGCGGCGGGTGGAGAGGTGGGGGAGGGAGGAGGGAGAGCAGAGGGATTGCAGGGTTAGAGAGAGAGAATGGGTATTATAGTCTTTCCCTGTGTGAAATTCATTGGGCTTTGTGTTTGGGGGCTCAGAGAACAAAAAATTTACTTTTGGGGGCAAAGCACCCGTGAGAAGGTGAGGATGGCAGGAGGAGGGCGGCGGCGGCGGGTGGAGAGGTGGGGGAGGGAGGAGGGAGAGCAGAGGGATTGCAGGGTTAGAGAGAGAGAGAATGGGTATTATAGTCTTTCCCTGTGTGAAATTCATTGGGCTTTGTGTTTGGGGGCTCAGAGAACAAAAAATTTACTTTTGGGGGCAAAGCACCCGTTGAAAAAGTCTTGGGGGTGGGAAGCTTGTTTTCATTCGTTTTGGGGGCTGGAAGCATTTTTCCCTAAAATTTAAGTCATTTTTCTTTCTCAGTATTTACCTTGATTTCAAACAGTCTGATTTGAAAATCTATGACAGTGCATTCAGTTTGCACATAAGAATTTTTTTTTTTAACTTTGAGTTCTTTTTTGAAAATACTAATATTTATTCTTTTACATAATCTTTTGTCATCTCAGAATCTTTGGTGCAAAACCTATAATTTACTATTTCTAAAAATTATTATTTTGTTAGATATATAGGAACTCTAATAGGAAATGTTCTCACTAAGCTTTAGCTCACCCCATCGTTTTCTAAAAATAAGTTCACCCCGTCGTTTTCAATTTATTTTTAGACTTACTGTTCTCTGCATATATGCTGGAATTTTGGATCTGGCGTTTTCCTTGGAGGCACTATAAGACGAAGTCTTC